AATGCAGATGGAAGGGCCGCCATTGCAGCCTTAGTGGCTGCGTGGCAATCTTGCTACGACATGGCCGACCAAGAGCGGCGATTGAAGGCTGAGGCACATGTGCTCGGCTTGCCTAAGCCTTTGCCCTCGAATGATCGGATGGGCATGCGGCATGCTTTAGAGGGTGTCGTAGGAGCTCTAGAAGAGAAAGATGAACCTAGCTCCACCTATCTTGCTCTCAAGTTAGAGGAAGTGGAGGCGGGCGAGCTACGTGCCGCTGTACTCGATGAGGTGACAAGTGTCTCTGATGAAGTGAATGCTCAGTTTCAGTCTTCGGTGGACTCCTCAGGCCGTTTGCGGCTTGTCAAGGAGAGGAAGAAAGCCAAGCTCCCCTCGACTTCCGAGGAGCTTCGACAGCGGTTGCGATTGGAGTGCTACACGTTTCTCATGCTGGCAGCTCGCTTTCGCACTAAGCCTTGGTTCGTGGATCTCCGTGTGCAGGATTTCACTAAGCATGTGGATTATGTGCTTGGGGACAAGGTTTATCTTCTCCAGATGTCCCGGACAGATGGCTCATCGGGTACGCAAGCAGTAAATCCCTCGTGGACACTTCTTTTGAATTTCGAACATCGTCTTCGCAAAGAAGCGTACAAAAAGGGCTTGTCGGGACAACAGGGACATTGCAACCACCTTGGGTGAGGTCAGGGCTGATGCTGCCTTGAAGGAGACCTACTTCGTGGGTCCATTGGCGCTCGAGCCGGCGAGTCGGGGGCCTTCGGCATCAGCACCACCGCCTCTGGCTAAATGGGCCCGTTTGGAGGATCATGTGCCAGACGCCGACAAGGGGTACAAGGGCCGTGACAATAAAGGGCGAGGCAGAGGGGGAAAAGGCTCCTTGAGGCTCGGCTTTCCTTCTTCGAAAGGGTTTGTCTTCAGCAACACTCCGGATGGTCGTCAGATTTGCTATGCGTACAACAATGGCACATGCAAGGGAGATTGTGGTCGTGTGCACGTCTGTCAGCTTTGCCTGAAGCCACACCCGCGGAAGACGTGCAAACTACAGAAGGACAAGTCAGGAGGGGCCTCGGATGGCTCCAAAAACTGACTAGCCACTGATCATGCAGTTTCATCTGCCTGGGAGTGCTGGGATCTTGAACCGATAAACTCGGAACGGGCATTTTACTTCCTGTACTTCTTCTCGGGCGGTCGGCGGCATTCTGATTTGCGAGTTTGCTTGCAACAAGAAGCCAAAGCTAAAGGAATTCGTTTGTTCGGTCAAGAAGTTGACCTGCTGGGCGAATACTGGCGGGAACATACCGGGGCTGGACTTAGTGCAGAGCT